GTTTTTACTAGTTCTATAAATACAAGAACTTCCCGAAATAGGTGCATTTTCTTCCCAAAAAGACTTCTGTTTGAATGTTTACAAATCCATTTCTTGGGTTTTAATGCATCAGGTTTGGAATTGTTTTTGTAAAACATTTCAGGTTGGAGTGCTGAATCATAATGTACTGATTCACTGGATTACTAAGACATGCATGTTTGGCAGAAATACTCCATATCTGATGTGGGAGAGTTTCAGTTTGGCTGCAGACTCATCCGTGTTCATAACCTGTCAAACAAAGATAAAGTTCCTTGAGATTAGATGTTCGCATTATTTCAGTCACATTATCGTTCAATCCTTTTCACTGAGAGTTCTTGAATGCATTTTCAGCACATCTGTAGTTTATAACCGCACACATTTTTGCAGTTCACATGCTTGATTATTGGCTTATTTTCTTTCTTAAGTTGAGTAGTTTTACAGACTTCTATCTGTTAGTGGTACGCATTTTTTCTGAGAGGCATTCAGCCCTGAGTGTGAGTTTCCCATGAACAGATGTTTCACTCCAGCTCTTGATTTTGAGTTTACTTTCGTGCACACTTCTTGCTTTCAGAACTTGCAAAAGAAAGAGTTGCAGAATATTGTACAACTCTAGTCTGCAATTGATGTGTTGGCATAATGTGTGTAATATCAAGTTATGACATTGAGCATAAAATGTCTGAGGAGATAAAAGCTCTGATTTTTTTTTTTACACAAGTGACTGAGCTTAAAGGGGCTAATAATTGTGACCTTAAAATGTTTTTTTTAAAGATTAAGAACTGCTTTTATCCTAGCCGAAGTAAACAAATAAGACTTTCTCCAGAAGAAAAAATATTATCAGACATACTGTGAAAACTTTCTTGCTCTGTTAAACATCATTTGGGAAATATTTCAAAATCAAAGGGCTTTTATACATTTATGTCAATATATTTTAATTATTTACAAGCATGTTGGTGCATTATTTTGTACGACGTGATTAGTCATGATTAAACAGTGCTAAACGTGTCAATTTTAAATAGATTTAATATTATTTAGATTAGATTAGATTTTAATATTATTAATTTTTTTTAATAATAAAAAGAAATTGATTTAATTAGCGTTGACTGAAATCGCAGAGCCCTTACTTCTGAATGATGGTGTGGGTTATTGTGACAGCAGTGCACAGCACATCATTCGTTCATTCATTTTTTTCCGGCTTAGTCCCTTTATTAATCAGGAGTCCCCACAGCGAAATGAACCGCTTACTCATCCAGCATATGTTTTACGCAGCGAATGCTCTTCCAGCCGCAACCCAACACTGGGAAATTTTAGCTTACCCAATTCACCTATAATGCATGGCTTTGGACTGTAGGGGAAACTGGAGCACCCAGAGGAAACCCACGCCAACAAGGGGAGAACATGCAAACTCCACACAGAAATGACAAGTGGCCCAGCCGTGGCTCAAACTAGCAACCTTCTTGCTGGGAGGCGATCGTGCTATCCACTGCACCACCGTGACACCCACTGACAGCACGGTTAAAAAAAAAAACAGATGCTGATTGTGAGTGTGTTTCTATCATCTCTCGCCCACTCTCTGAGCTTTGGAGTTGAAGGGAAGTTCCAGGATTGTCCAGGAGAGATGCACTCAAATTATACAGTTTTGTTTTTACACCCGCTTACTCATCACATTCCCAAAACACACACAGATTGTACAGGAGCTGTGCTATAATCAAGCACTTGTCCCTGTATATAAAGCAGTTTCATTACAGCTGAAACTTAAAAAGTTTACATTTTTCTGACACAATCTTAAACGGTGCACAGGAAAGAGCTGAAATCAGGTGAAGTATTTATCTGTTTGTTTCGTAGTACCACATCTTTGTGCTCCAAGAATAAGACGTCATTCAAACATCCCATGCAGCTGTTGATTAAACGGAATGCAGCATCTGATAGAAGAGATGTAAAGTGAGTTACTCTGATTTCACAACTGTAGAGAGTGAACTCAGCCTTGCTTTGTCCTTACTTCACCCTGAGTAACAACTCTGGGTCAGACTCCTGTGAGCTCATGCAAATAAACTGTTTCCATTGAATATAGTTTAATGGGCTGTTACTGTTTTTAAGCTTAAAACACATTTCAGAATCATTAGATATCATAAGAACAATTATCTATCTTTCTGTCTATCATTCTAGTAATACATTTGATAGTATACTTGCTGGAAATTGAAATGACATCAATATTTTAAACTATATTTAAACAGTTGATTTGTATATAAAGTTTTCAAAAAATTAGTTTGTACTACTTGTGAAATTGAAAATAAGTACTTAATTTAAGATAGTTTTTTTTGTACCATTTGTGCAAGTCATCTGGAAAATAACTTTATTAAAACTGGGAACAATCAAAGCGTTTCTGCTAAACATTTAGCAGAATCAATAAATGAAAGCATTTAAATGGGATTTTGTTTTGGGAATTCAGGGGTGTGGAAGATTAAAACCCCTTTTGTGTATCTCTATGTCCATCACGGTTGTTTTTCAGCTCTGTCTGCCACATGCAAGATAATTCAGACATTGTAATGATAATAAGACTGCACAATATTGAAGAAAAAAAAATTGCTGCACAATTTATTGTTTGAGCATTGATATTGAAATGAGTGCATCCATACAGGTGCTGCATTGAAGCTCAGATGAATGCAACAGGGCAAAGATACAATTGAAATAAACAGTGCTTTTTAGATTTCAAAAGAGTCAGAAATCAGTATTCAAAGAGAAATTGAATAATAAAATGTTAAAAAAACACTGTATAGTCATTGTGTAAAAAATTAAATACAAATAATCTTTAGTCTACAAACATTATAATCACTTATGCCTAAATAGTTTATAGTCACAGGTCCTATAAACAAATAAAATTGAAAACTTTTACTTTAAACTTTGCAATGACTCTAGTGTGTGCTGAACGGTAGTTCCGCAATGTGTCTGTAAAAAAAATTCTTGCAGCTTAATTTTATTTGTTAAATCAAATAAAATGTTCTAGTCATGTCAACTTAAATAAATTAAACAGACTAAAAATATTAAGTTAAACTTAGTATAAGTTAAAAACGGTAGCTGAAACCTCATCAGCTTAGTAAAATTTTTAAAGTTAAAGTAATATTTGTTCTCATGACCTTTTGTCATATATTTTTTTAGTGTACACAAACTGATTAAATTCCTTAATGTCCTTAATAAAACCTCAAGGATTGTGTTGTTTTAGCTTATTTTAAATGAGTAGTTTAAACAAGTGTATTGCGGTCTCACACATTGCGATAATGCTGAAACAATACACTGTGCATCCCTGTTATGCCAGATGACGCTGACAACAGAGTTGAGGATCCAAATGCAGGTTTGTTATGAGAATGGTCAGGCAAGCAATGGTCAAAGCAGGGGCAAACAGATGCATGCAGGGATCCAGAGTCATGGTCAATAAACTGGTGTATGATCAGTACAGGCAGCAAGCAACGTGAACAAACAGAACAAAGCAAGGGTCAAACATGGCAAGGCAAAGGAAACGCATCGTAATGTTCACAACACAGTATAACAGGGCTCAGCAACTGGTGTGTGCCTGTGTTGCTTTTAAAGTCCATGTAATCAGCTTCAGTTCTGTTAGCAATCAGCAGAAATCCAGAACAGGTGTGAGTGTGTGGTGCATGACTAGATTTGTCCATACGGCGACAGATTTGTAGTCCTGAGTGAAAGTGAATGATTCCCAACCATTTACAAGCCTGGATCGCTGGTGATTGTGACACCTAGATGATAGCATTTCTTGGTTTTCCAAAAAAAATCTCCAAATATCATCATTTGGATATAAATCTCTGCAATACTCCACTAGCCAGCAAGAGTGCAGGGATTTCTGAAAGAGGTCTCAAAGTAACACACTTTAGTGAAATTGTAGCTTTTGCTTTTCTTGTTTGGATCTGTAGTGAATTTCATGGCGAGGTGGGTGGATGTGCTTTTGTTTGTGATTTTTTAGGGTCATTTGGAGGATTAGATGACAAGATTGTCACATTTCCAATCCTTTTATTTCCTCTCATTTGGGGTTTGTTGTTCTAACCTCTCTATGAAATCCACATTTCAGCTTTTCAAGGTAAAGTAAAGTGCAGGCCAGGGCTTGGTGCGTTTTGATGAACTGTTTTGTATATGTACAAGAATGCTCATTTAATAAGATAAGAAGATCTCAACCAAACATCTGGAGGTCCATTATCACACCAAAGCAAACACGCCTTTTCTTTCCTGTGAACCTGACTGCATTCGATTTCACATTTAGCGTTTTTCAACATATTACTGTAATTAAATTTTGCACATTTGAGTGATTAAAAGTCTGATAAAGGTTGGACAAATGGATCAGTTTAAGTGAGCTTTTTTTCTAGTGTGATAAGTTGTTTTGATACACACGTTACATCATGCACAGACTATTTAAGCATCATACGCTGTGTGAGATTTGTCAATGTGTTTATGAAGATTATTGAACTGTTGTTTTGTCATTAATAACTCATGAATGTGCACTTGCGTGTGTGTGTGTGTGTGTGTGTGTGTGTGTGTGTGTGTGTGTGTGTGTGTGTGTGTGTGTGTGTGTGTGTGTGTGTGTATGGGTGTGTAATTATTGCATGTGTTTTGTGATTGTGAATGCATTATGTGCAGTGTGTGTGTGAGAGAGAATGAGTGTGGATGGGTGTTTCCCAGTAATGGGTTGCAGCTGGAAGGCCATCCGCTGCATTAAACATAGGCTGGATAAGTTGGTAGTTCATTCCGTTGAGGTCACCCCTGATTAATAAAGGGACTAAGCCGAAAAGAAAATGAATGAATGAATGAATTTTTGTGTGTTTAACAGCAACCTTGAACTATAACTAGTTTGCCATACAGCATGACATCTTATAATTTATTGTTTAAAATATTTTAGAGAAGCTAAATACATTTTTAATAAATTGTGTAATAAATTTGTCTTGTTAATGTAAACCTTTTTTGTCTCTTCTTCCTCATAGCGGCCAATGAGGGGAGGATAAATGGAGATGACTTTTTTCAGAAGGTGAGAATCAGTTTGTGTATTTACATTTTTTTTAAATTAAATCTCTTGTTTAAAACCTTGTTTAATTGATTTAAACTTTAAATTCATGAGCTTTTTTTAAATGTACATTACATTTAAAAGTTTTTTTTACTGAAATGAATTATTTTATTTGGCAAGTAACACACTAAAAAATGCTTTTCTTACTTAGATTTTTTTTGTCTTGTTTCTTGTCCAAATATCTAAAGATCTTGCTTGTTTTAAGGAAAAATAATTTTGGCATATTATTTCTTAAATCAAGACAATATGTTTTGCTTGTCTAGAAAAGTCAGGTTGAATCACACACTCAATGAGAGAGCATGCTGCAAGAAAACAGACAATTGACTCGCACTCATCATCATCAGATCTCTTTTTTTCACAGCAGATGAGTCAGTGTACTGTTCTAGTAACTGAATAGCTCAGGATGTGGATTTATTTCAAGTCAGTGGGGGTATCCGGTATGTTAGTACTGAAAACGCAAACTGTTTCCCGACAACTCTGTTCAATTTAATGAACTGGTTCGACCAATTGACTTGAAAGATCCAGTTAAAACAAACGATTCATTCGCTAATCAGCTGTCATCACTACAGACAGTCAGAATGACAGGCCAGAGACTTACATTTTTGCAATGGATTCTTGTTATTTTAAACTCATTGAAGAAAAGAAGTGGACTGCTGTTAAGTGTAGATTATGTGTAAGTAAAACTCTGCAAGACAACTGCAAGAAACACGACATTGGAAAAAAAAAAACTGGATGCAAAACACTACACCCGCACCCCACCTCCAGGTACACAACCAATGATTGACATCAGTTCACGTATTACCATAATTCCAGTAAACTAAAAAAAGGTTATTACTTTTATTGTTTAGGAGATGCAGACACTGTCTAATGTTACTGTAAAGCGACTACGTTTTGTAATATAGTAAGATTTTTTTTCTCTTTTGGAAAACGATTTATACATGTGTTAAGGTCACTTGAAGCAATTTATTCACTGTGTACAGCTCAAAGTTTATTTTGACTTGAGGATGATTTTTATCGTCTTACTGTTCATTTTGTTATTAAACATTTTAAATGTTTTAAATCTGTTTTTGCCTTAATAATAATTATCTAATGTTAGTACTCCTAGGCTTTATTGCAATCTTTATCTCAATGGATATTGAATTTAGTTAACTAAAAACACAAATCATACAAAAGTAGCAAACACATTACTTTACATACTCTCATTAATCTGTATATGCATAATGTATAGCTCTGGGATCAGAAAGGTCTCAAAATATAATATTATCCTACATTTTTTAAAAGGAAAATGAAGGTGTAGGTTATATAGGTGGTTGTTAAACACAGAGCTTCTCTATAAAAAGGTGAAAAAACGACTGCAAGTTCTGAAAGAGATCAAGCCTCAGCCAGGTAAGGAAAAGTAACGCAAAAGTGACTCAAAAGTAATATAACCCCAAAAAGTAACTAAGTACCGCAATTAGTTACTTTATGTGGGAGTAATATATTCAATACTCAATATTGTAATACATGACTTTCAAAAGTAACTTTCCCCAACACTGTAGAAGACCATTTATAAAAGTCAGGGTTTATGACTTTTCTATTATTAAGAGTTAAAGAAACCCTTTTCTGTGCAATCTTACATAGTATAAGATGAACATACATAAACATGAGTACCACTTAACATGCATTTGCTCTGTTTAAAATACAAGCCATACCTATTTGCTTCTCTTATCTTTTGTTCATATGACAAACAACCTCAATTTCAGTATTTGTTTCCGAGAAGTATGTAAAAGTAGGTCTCCCCCATTTTCTGCATAACAGTATAGCTTTTTAGCACAGATCATCCTCTTTCCAGAAGCGCACTGGCATTTCCAGCAGGTTTTGTGTGTGTGTGTGTGTGTGTGTGTGTGTGTGTGTGTGTGTGTGTGTGTGTGTGTGTGTGTGAGAGAATTTGCTGTGAGTCTTCTTTAAACACACAGTAAATCTGACCAAAGATGTGCATGGAGAGGCCAATTCAGAAGTTTGATTGATTTGGTCCAAACAATTATCCTTGCTTAGGTTTCTAATAAACAGAGATAACAAGGGCCAATGAAATAGTCCAAGTATTCTTGGTTTGGCTGAGATGATTGAGGTTTGTGTATAGTCTTTGAACATCGCTCCTCTGGTTGCACCACTGATATGATCACTGCTTTCTGTCCTCACTTGCACTTTTTTTGCTGTCGTATACCAGGGTTTGTCCAAAATTCAAAGTGGTACATGTATTGTAGACGTGTTTATGTATCCGAATAAATATTTTCTTCTATATGCATGTCATGTTTGTAACTATGTCTGACATAGAAATCCATCTTTGTCAGAGATCAAAATCTACAATGTTATTCAGATACTATTTAGTTTTTCATACTGTAAGCAACACTAATGCAAGCATTACAGTCTTGGTTGGTAAATTTATAGCCAGTTTTTGGTTTATTTAGTCTGTTTTTGCACAACATTTTTTATAGTTGCAATGAACTGGCAGAAGTTGCATAACTTTTTTTGCCAGTATTATGATATACATGAGTAAAACTGATTATTAAAAAAGAAATCAATGAATAATGGGTGGCGACACTTTATCCAGTAGTTGTTGGTTGAATGGAGTTTATTATTCAATCATATACCGCCCCCTTTCCAGTTGTACTCATTTGTTGTTTTGCAAAGCTCGTTTCCAAGTGAAAATGACTAAAACTGTAATATAACGTTTGCAGCACGGGATGCTCATTCAAATTTTTAGAAGCGCGAAAGAGCATATGCGTGTGTGTGCCGCGCTTAGCCTCGGACAGGCTCGGAAATGAGTAGAGCACACTAATCTAATGCTATTTTAATGTGAGCGCTTTAATGGTCAAACACTTGCACATTTGTGTTAGAGCACGGTTTTTAGTGATTATTCATATTAACCCTCTTTTGTGTAATAAACAAACGAGTTGAGCATCAAAAGACATATGAAAGAGAAACCATATCAGAGCCGCACTATTCTTAAAGAGACAGCGCGCAATAATCCTGCTGCTGCATGTTTTTATTATTAATCAAACAACAAAAGGAGAAAATCCCTCACTGCTCTTGACTGAAGGACTTTTGTAGCTTTTTTCCTTACAGTGAAGATGCTTAAAGCATAGCTTAAACATAACAAATTTAATAACTAATTTCTAATAACTGATTTTTAAAATCTTTGCTATGATGACGGTAAACAATATTTGACTAGATATTCTTCAAGATACTAGTATTCAGCTTGAAGTGACATTCAAAGGCTTAATTAGTGTAATTAGTAGAAACAGTAGTTTCTTCTGCAAACAATCAAAAATATATATTGCTTAAGGGAGCTAATAATGTTGAGCTATTAAAATAGGTTTCAAAATATTTAAACCTGCTTTTATTCTAGCTGAAATAAAACAAATAAGCCTTTCTCCAGAAGAAAAAAATATTATAGAAAATACAGTAAAAAAATCCTCTGTTAAAAATAATTTGGGAAATATTTATATAATAAAAAAAATTCACAGGAGGGCAAATAATTTTGACTTCAACTGATAATCTTTTTGAAATGTGATTACAATTATGACCAAAATAATTGTGATTATGATTTTTCCCATAATTGAGCAGCCCTAAGTTTAAGCATTGGAGAAGTGCTGCAGTTTCACTTGAAGATCAAGCTATGATATTTTGACAACAAAGGCTTTGTATAGAAAGACTGTGCACTTAAATAGAATAGTTTGAATGGGAAAGCGCAATGCACAATATGGAAGAACAAATCACACCTTTTAAATAAAAGATCCAATTGGCAGTTGGTAAATTCATCCCATCGCTGCTTTTAGAAGCTCTTGTTGTTGCCATAAAAATGATCAGTCTACTGAGACCTCTGCTTAATGCAAATGAACATTGACTAGAATATACAGAAAGCTTTTATAGCACACGTTTTGCATAAGGAACAATTTGATGGGCTGATTTAAATTTTTACTATTTAAAAAATTATTAAAATTTCTGAATTTCACTATTCAAGTAAATAGGGCTTGGATTAGGATGCCTGAATATTTCCCCATCGTGAGCCTTGAATGATTATAAGATCAGAATTATTTTGACGTTTAATATTGTCTAACTGCAAATGTATACAATATTGTAAAAAAAAATGATCTGTTGTAATTATTTTTTAATTTAAATTGTTTGTTAACTTATTTCAGTGGCAAGGGTTATTATGGGATGAAATACAACCTTTACTGTACAAAATGTTTTGTTAAAACATGGAAAAAAAATCACAACTATATATATATATATATATATATATATATATATATATATATATATGCAGTTGAAGTCAGATTCATTAGCCCCCTGTTTATTTTTTTTCCCAATTTCTGTTTAACATAGAGATTTTTTTTCAACACATTTCTAAACATAATAGTTTTAATAACTCATTTTTCTCGATGAGAGTAATCGTTTCAGTGATTTTTAAAACCTTTTGTTGAGATCTCCTTCCCTGCAGTGAATGGATTGGCTTCATGCCTATTGTTGATCCTGGCTCCTCAGCCATTCTCTGCATGTTTCCGTCTCCCTCTTTGTCTTCACCGTTATCATTATCTCGAGCATCGCCACAGTGGTGTCTGTCCAAATACCTTCACTGTTCTTTACACTGTTGATTTTCACATTCTTGCTGAAATTTTCATCAGTTATTTTGCACAACACTGTGGTTTCAAAATGGTTTGAAACAAGTAAACGGTGAGTAAATAATGTCAGAACTTAAATTTTTTGGTGAACTATCCATTTAATGAAGCTAACTACGCTAGTTTGATATTCCAGGCATTAGAAACTCTTTCTCCTTTTAGTTGAGACTGTTTTTATTCCTCTGACAGGATGAAATTGAAATTACAGATTTTTTTAAAAGTGTGTCTGTAATTCTCAATATGCCATTAAGAATCCATCTTAAAAATCAGTAAATACTCTTAGTTTTTCGGCACACACACCTG